GATTGTTTTAGAAATTGAAGAGGCTAAACTGGAACTTCAGGCAGAATTGCACGAGATATCTGCATTTTCAGACCTGCTTGACCAACGCACCCCAGAGCTGGCGCACTGATCGCCCAGTCTCGCCTGAGATCGGCAAAATGACCGCGCAGTTCATCAATGACGTTTGGTAAGTACTGTCTGATTACTTTGTAAGTACTCTCTTCTATTTTTAAAGCTTTCAGCTCTGGAAATTTCACCGAGGATTGGTCTGTATGTATGCGACGCGAACTAGCTACAGCACTCTTGGGTGTGGTCCAACTGACAACGTCGCTATCAAAGTCAGCCTCACGTGAAAGTATGAGCAAAGAGCCTGTGCATTCTATTCTGAATTCGAAAAGGTTGGTCCAATATTTCTCGAACAAAAACGCTGGTTCAGACATAGTGTACTTCAAATAATCGTTAAGGTTCTGGTTATCTGTCGCAGCGCTGGCTCTTGTACGAGATCGTTCGTGGTTAGCCTTGAGTGAAAAGTGGAATGATGTACGGACTCCAAGTCAAGAGCCAGTCACTCTGTGCGAGAATCACGATGACGGAATGACACCGGCTCAGGTGACTCGCTAGGTTTCATTTTTTGATTGCAGGATGCTCCATTGAGATGCCGTCAGGGAATAATCTCTAAGCCTTGCTGATCTATTTATTTTTAATCCCCTCCCCCTTTACGACTCGTCCAAGAAGCGTTAGCCCCTAGAAAAAATCGGCATGGGTGATGGCAGTCCGGTTGTGATACACCGGTTTTGTTCCCCTCGGGCGCTCACAGTCAGTCAAAGCGGATTGGATTAGGCGTACGCAGAGCCCTTTTTCACCAGTTCTGTGCTTACGCGCCACAACAATGATGGAAGTATGGCTTGGCCCGCGCCAGTATGAACCCACTGACACGCCCGCTTTGTCCGCCAAAAAGCTGTAAAATCGTTGTGACCGGCTCCTTTACCAATGCCGTCATCTGCCTTAAAGTACAGTTAGACATCTCAGGAGTTCTCACCCATGGATGAACCTTTACCTCGTCGTACCGTTATTACCATTAATCTCGGAAAGGTAATAGGTAATTTCAGGTGTTCTGTTCGGACTGTGAGTGTGCATTGTGCCGTGAATGCTTTTCTGTGATGCATCTCCACAAACGGAATCGCTCCCATCGTGTTACCTCATTGGCACCACCACCAGCCCGCCTGGAAGAGATCGACATTCATCAAGGTTGTGCTCGAATGCGAGTCGCTAATCTTCTGGTACGTCCTTTTCTCTGAATTCAGCCATGAGAGAGTTCCCTCAGGAAAATTTTGGAAGACAATAACATTTTCAGATTTTGTTCCACGGTGAATCGTTGAATGGTCTCGTCGAATTGCCCTCCGACCCATTCGCAGGTGCTCACAAACGCTGCGACCATCGCTGCAGGGCGATCAACACCGTCTGTCTGTCGGTTTTGTGGAAACGCACTTGACCCTCATAATCAGGTATCAAATCTGTTTGGATCATATTTCTTTCATTTTTTTATCTGACCAGTTGAATAAAGGCTTCCACATTACAGTTGGTGGGCGTCTGTTCGCATCCAGATTGTGTTCGATTTTCGGCCACTGCTTGCTGTCGTAACCTGCCTTGTGGACATCCATGTGGTGGTATAGCAGGCGAGAAGGAATGTCTGCCTTGTCTTGTGTGCGATAATGAAGGTAAAATAGCTCTTTTGCTTGTAGGCAGGTTGTACTTACGATTTCCAGGTGTTGTGGTAGAGTAGGATGTCACCATACCACCTTACATACCATACCTCAGGAAGGGTAAGGATGTTCGCGTCAGCTGTCTGAAGGCTCATCACGTCTGATGTACGCCTTGAATCGGGATCGAACGTTCCTTTGACGATAACACTATGTTTCCGTAAAAATGCAATCCTGATAGTGCCCGGGTACCGATTTTTGCCAATCGTGCCTTTTGTCAGAGCTCGTCGTACGTCGGGGAGTCACCAGCGAAAAGGTGTCGTATTTAGTCACTAGAGGTATCGTACTTGGCCTGGCGAATTCTTCTGACGGTTAAGTTTTCCTGTTTCATGAGCGCTACCCACAACATTGCTGGGCTTCCATTGAGGGTTTGAGTGGAGGGGGGAGTGGGTCATATTGCTCTTCGCTTTAAGGGGAATGGATGGGGATAGGTCATCTGGGTCCGTATCTGCTAGTTGCGCTGCAGAACTACATAACACAACTGCTATTGCCGATTGAGTTTTGCAGCTGTAACTGCTGTTTGGTGCCCCCTAAACCCGCTCTACAGCATTTATTTTTGTGGGACAAACTAAAAAAATCTCGAAAACACGGCGGGATCGTTTAGGCAGTTGATAAAACTTCGAACCGCGCCAAGTTTTGGGGAAAAATTTTTTAAAAGAGGAGGGGCGGGGGTCGTATTTTGCAGAAAAATTTCCCTGCGATATTGAAGTCCTCATTTCTGGTACCCTCTTATGCGCTATGATGAGGCTTTCGGGAATGTCAACTGGATTTGGAACTTCTCCGCGCTCATATCTGGTTGTTATTGCGTTGCAACTATAGCATTACAGAAGGATGTGTTTTTCTAAAACTGTATGGTGTGTTTATAGTATGTAATTTGTAGATGCGCCAGAGATGAGTGACTGATGTTGTGTGTCGTGTGCTTTACAGTGATACGCTCTGTTGCGGCGTCCTCTGGCGTATGGCTTGCTGTGGTCATGCTTTCTGCACTATGATGTGTTCGTGCAGTTTCTGAAAAGCGTTGCGGGGCGAGAATTCAGTCCGCTTGTTTGGAATGTCCGTGTGGCAACGTGCAGGTGAGGGTCGATTTTTCTAAACGCAGTTAGAATGGTTCTGCAGCTAAATCCCTTTTAAGAAATCCCTTACATCTGATTTTCAGATGTCGCACTCTGGCTTAAGTGATTTGCTCGAGCCGCTGTTGGCATTGAAAGCTGAAGTGGCTCAAAAGGCAAACATGCGACTTGAATTCGATGGCCTCCTAGGCTGCACAGCTCTTGACCGATCCTCAGAGGTTTGCTCTTTTCAGTTTTCACGTTTTTCCAGCTTGAAGTTTCGCTAGTATTTCGGTTGAACCGAGAATCGCTGAAGTAGTCTCCTCCCAATGAATGAGTTTCAGCGAGTACTACGGCCGCCCAGAAGAATACGCGATGGATCGGTATATGTACGTGTTGTGTAATATGCTTGTCAGAGGCGTACTTTGAGGAGGCGTTGTCATAATGGTAAAGATAACTTTATTATAGTCTTGTAGGCAGGCTGTAGTGTCATTTCATTTCTCGTAAGTACCAAATGAGGGGCAACGCATGATCAACCTACAGAAGTTTTATCGGCCTTCTGGTTGTAAGTGGGAGGGGAGGTGGCGCACACAGCCGTTATTGTGCTTCCATCATTTACAGAAACAAGTGCCTCACATTTGGGGCCATACCGTCTGGAATCCCGACGCAGGGCGGTAACAGCATGCAAATGCAGATTATTGAAGCTCCCCAGTGGAAATCGCCGCCAAAAATACTCTAAAACACTGCATGATGTGAGATTAGCCTGTGAGCCTAGGTAAATGAGCGAGCGTGAGCTGCGGACCAGGACGGACAACCGGTGGGATTTAGGTCAGGAGATTCGAATTGTAGCTACAGCTGACAAGATGCGAGGTATGACCAGTGTATGAAACACGATCCCCGCCGAAGGTTTTATGCATTAGAATGGTCACGTGCATTCTGCCATTCAGCTGAGGGTTAATTGCTGGGGGGGGGGGGACAATGTTAGGGGGTACTAAAACTAGTGGGCGTGCAGGCAGAATGGACGGCGCCTAATGTCGGTTTCGCAAGCCTTTCTTATGCTTAGCACAATCTATAGTCTCACTACTCTCAAAACCACTAGGAGCACGGTAGTTACACTTGTAAAACCATCGATAAGATTCAACTGAGCCCAGGTCCTGGGTTTTCCGCTCAACATAATTAAGTTTTCCAATGACTGCGTTGACATATGCCGAATTCTCACTGGTATACTGAATCTTTTTAGGCCCTGCAGTCGTTCCAGTACAACGCCGCTGAGCTGGTTTGTGGTGGCTGCTCAGCACCAGCAGGTACGGAGGTTTGTGGTCGTCACGGTGCCGAATATCTCGAATACAAGTGCCGGTACTGCTGTTCGATTGCCGTCTATTTTTGGTAGGTAGTCAGGTCTGCTTGCCCCCTCTAGATTCTCAACAAATTAGAACTGTTTACCCTACTGTTTCAGCTTACGGTTAGCAACGCCTTCTGCGCGGCCCTGTCTATGACGATTTTCCAGGGCTCGTGCTGTCCTACCTCGAATCAATTCGCCATCCAATGTCCTATACCGGTACAGAGGGTCGGGTGAGAGGCAAGGGCCTTGTCCCCTGCGGCGACCACATCCGCCGGCTGGCGAAGAGTTCGCTCTGGGTTGTGGTATTTGCAGAAACATCAGCACTTTTTAGGCAAAAATCGTTGTTGTTTAGTATTTGTTAGCTCTGTCGCTACAAACTGCTGTAATAGGCTTGATTTTGTTACTCATTCTGACTACCGGGAGTTAAATGAATTTCCGGAAAATTCTTCTGCGATTTCAAAGTGCATTTCATTTTCGAAAACGTACAACTCCATTTTTCACTTTTCTAATTTTCAAGTACACATGCGGATTTTGTTTTTTCTCGTGAATATTCCTACTTTAGCCCGCCGTTGCGGCAACGGTTCGTGGCGTCATTGTAAACTTTGCATGTGATCTCATTTCACGTATAATGCGATATTAACGGGTATAATTTATTGCACATTTGTTCTGGTCATTTTTATTGATAAATTTTTTATTGAGTTCGCAATGTACTCACAAGTGAGTAGAGATGTGTTATATCAAACTCCAGTTATATGTAGTCACTTAAAAATTTCTTCTATTTTGAACTGTACCAGGACGTGGCGTAACAGTCGTCGGTTTTTGTAGGGAAAAAGTGAAGGGAACAGTGGAAGTGTGGGATACGTCAGATGAATGGGTAAGATTGAAGTACGGGGTCGTGGCAGAAGGGGACTTTCTTGGGGGGGGGGGGTGGTCGTGGCGCTTGCAAAAACTTTTCTAAACGCGCCAACAGCGCCCAACTTCATTTCACAAATTTTCGAGTCCGACTCCCTTGTCCTTTAAAAAGATTGCAACTAGCGAGATCGAACCGGTGCCGGCTGTGCAGTATGCGATGAGTGAGAATCCCCCTCTATTCCATCGACTCATGTAGAATTCAGCTAGGCTTTTTTTTTCATTGAGTAGCACTAGAATGCTATACGCGTTGACATCTGTATATAAACGGGGTTCGCTCCCGTGTGACAGCACACCAAGAGGAACAAATCTGTAAACATTCGTAGTCTATGCTCGAAGCAACTTGAAATCAGCGAAACTTTAAAGACAGTCCCCGCGATCAAGTGGTCCGCGAAATGCCTCCATGCATTTGGCATCGTAGTCTGCATTCGCAACGGATGTACCCCTTTCGTTACTCGAAGCAGCGAGATAAAGAGACTAGAGACGCGTGATTATTGCAACCATTGCAACCATTACTTTCACTCTACAAGACAACGGCTTACAAGCCGAAATGCGTGTGTACATAGCGTTGCTCGCGTCGTCGGGCGATTCCATATGCTCATTCCGGGTATTGATTGCACGTAGAATCCTGTTGATTGTGCTCGTCCTCATGATGGACTCGTCCAAGGCGCCAGCCCTACCGCTGACGGGGTTTCTATACATGGTGTTTCCAAGGTTTTTTTCTCGCTTCTTTCTCTACCGGGGATTACTTATGAGCTACTGGTTCATGATTGAGCACCTATTACCGTAAACTTGATCGCGGGAATTGTCTTTAACCGCTTCTGTATTAGGTTCTAGGCCCCGCAAATATTAGAATACAGTGAGGAGTGCTGTACCTCCGGTGAGAAAGCGAAACACTTCTTTAGAAACTCAACCGAAATTCATGTGATAGAGCGCGGTGCACAAACTTGTGCTCCTGCATAGTCGCCCCACTTGGCCAAGCATAACAGTGGTTTATTTGATAGCGGAGGAAAGCTGTTAGTGTCGCAGCGTGGCATGCAGATAGTATTGCACAAAGCAGAATAGATTTGTGTTTGCAGTTTGAACGCTAATAACCTTGTGGGAAGCACACCTGTAACCCCTTCTCAGCATATTGATTCCTGCGAATGTATGCATATAAATACCGGGCAAGCTTCTGAGAGACGGGCAAGAGAATCGTAAATTGCCGCTTCGTCGCGCGCGGCAGTGGACGCGACGTTTCCTTCACTTGCACTACCCTTTCGATTGGAGCATCGGATTTTATGTAGGCAAGGACACAAAACTCGACGCTCCAATCGACAGGGTAGCGAAAGGATAGGACGAAATATGTCTAGTTTCGGTCATACGTTGTCTATTCTCGATCAGTACCACATAAAATCGTCGTCATTAGCGGGCGCGACGTCGCACGCGACGCCCACTGGCGCTGCCAATTACGATTCTCTTGCCGCATGCCCCACAGGGCATATCATTGTTTAGGGATTTTACTGGGGTCCGTTGGCATCGTGCAAGTAACC